AAAATACTTTGTATTTTCATCTTTGAATATTTCTCCCCAAGACAAGGAAGTCTCAGAATCCAGATATGATGTGCCAAACATCTAATTAAAGAAGTAAAAGAGTCCATGTCTTAGAAACATACAGAAGGTGATTGCAATGATATTTTCAAGAATTTATACACTTAGACCCAAGGATCTGTTTTCATATCCTTTGGAATCCAACATTAAAAGACTCACATTCTGTAAGGTGTTATGTACTTTTCAGAAGATGATTTATAGAAGTTAAAAAGCCTTTAAAAAAACCTATATTTGGTTACTTTGTTGGATTTTCTTTTTTATTAATTCTTTGAGAATTTCATATAACATACTTGGATTGTATCCACCCCCTTCCTCACAGATCCACCCCCTTCCCTAAATCCTCACAGATCCGCCCCCTTCCCTACCCACCTTTCTGTCTTTTCTTTTTCTTTTTAAACCCATTGAGTCCAATCTATGTGGCTCATATACTCTTGGGTGTGTCATCATCCACTAAAGCATGGCTGACCTACCAGGGCTACATTGTTTTTGTTTTGTTTTGTTTTGTTTTGTTTTTCTTCCCATTTTTAATATTTTTATTGAGTTTTTGTGCATTTCACATAATACATCTGAGTCAAATTTAGACCCCACTCCCCACCCCCTATTGCCTCCCCCCACACCAGAATTCAGGTATTCTGCCATATACGTTAAGTCTTATCTGGTCAAACATTTCTATCCATGTATCCCTCGCTGCAAGTTCAGCCACTGGAGTCTAGTCAGCATATCTAGAGTCACTTCCTTAAAGAAGATCTACTCTCCCTCACCCCACAGTAATCTTTTGCCAGTAGTTCCTTGGCTAGGGTTGGGGCCTGCTGCCCATTTCCCCCGGTCTAGGCTGGGTTTTTGTCTGAGTCAGCATGACTCTTGTGCATCCTGTCAGCATTGTTGCAAGTTCATATGAGCAAGTTTCCAGTGGCCTGAAAGTCTGTTTCCTTAAATTCATGTACCAACCCTGGCCCTCACAATCTTTCCACTCCATCTTCTACAAGGGTCCCCGAGTCATGGGTAGGCGAGGTTTAATACAGAAAACTGACTCTCCCTCTCCCAGCAGCTTTCAGTTGCTAACAACTCCTCAGTTTGGGACAGGACTTCCTGGGGCTAACCTTCCTCCTCCCTGCTGGCTTGAGCTTGTGCAGGCCTTGCGCATGTTCTCATAATCACTTGAATGTATACGTACAATTGGTCTGTTGTGTCTGTTTTCTTGAAGTCCTCCATGGCCTCTGGCTCTTAAAAGCTGCTCCCCCTTCCCCATTGATCCCTGAGTCTTGTGAGGGAGCGTGTGACAAAGTTGTCTCATTTAGGGCTGAGCATTCTGTATTCACATGTTTTCTGCACCTTGACCAGTTGTGGGTCTCTGTGTTACCACCTATTGCAGATAAATGCTTCTCTGATGAGGGTTGAGAGATGCATTAATCTATGGTTGTAATAATGAGTCTTTAAGAGTCACTTTAAAACTATGTCCATTTAGCCAAATAACAGTAGTGTGTCCTCTTCTCAGGCTTATAGCCAGGCTAGAGAGAGCTTATTGGCCCTGATAATAGTGCCCAGTAGAGTTTTTATAAAAGGAGTCAAAATCACAAACAATGCACACTACCTGAAACTCATTCCAGTTGTAACAGTATGAGAAATTATGCTTAACTTTGAAGCACAACAGGCATTCCAGTTTAAGATATGAACCCTATCTTCCTGAACCTTATCAATAGACAGAAAAGCAATGTACACTCAGAGAAAAGAAAATGCAAGCAAAGGTAGGCGTTAAGATAAAGTCTAACCCGTTCAGACACAGGAGCCCCATCTAGCACCCTGTACCCTGCTGTGATCTTCCTGGATGGCTCCCTGGCCTTTTGTTTATCATCCTTTTTTCTTGTTCAAAGCTCAAAGAAGGTCAGCATGTAATTTAGTTATTACTGAAAATTATTTACAGCTTTAATGGTCTCTGCTCAAAAAGAACCCAAATCGAAGAATTTCAAGATTGGAGAGATTAAAATGATAGTGGTTTACAGGTGCCTACTGATTCTTTTGGTAGCTATTTGGGTATCAACAGGGTTTGAAGTATATGCTTGTATCTACAGTGGTTGTAAAAAAAAGTTGCAACATTGTCTAGTATATTGAATCTAGCTTTATTGTTCTATTTCAGATTAATTTAGTCAATATAATAAGTGAATTATTAATTGAACATCCCACTCTAATCAGCTTTTGAGCCATCAACTGTCCTGCAGGAGAAAAACAGCCACCTCCAGGTTACTAAACCCAGAAGCCAACTCACATCCTGTCTGTAACTGAGGCTCAGCTATCCCTGCTGGCCACCACCCCTGATGCTGGTCACTTTCCTCCTATGCTCTTTCAACTTCTGGTTCTCCTCCAGCTTCACAGATGGCTCCTCATCTTCTCTTCCATTTCCATTGCTCTGTCCCAAATCTTCTCCTTCCAGATGGAATTGGTGACTTCCTCACTATCAAGGCTGTCAATATCATCTGATGTTGCACAAATTCTTTTTCCAATGTAGGAAACCTCTGAATTCCAGGCTCCAGAATTCAAACTTAAGCCTCCACTAAGATGGCCAAGAGGTCCTCAAAGCTGATTATCCAAGGCTGGTGTTGCTCGAGGCTTAGTTTACTGGCCACCATCTGGAGCTCATATGATGTGCACTCCATCACACAAACACAAACTGAGAACCCGTGGCTCACTATGGAGTTTCTTCTCTATCTCACACCACACATCCCTTGGTGAGGTGCCTTGGATCTCCTCTTACTTCTTCTCTGCTTCATCTGAGCCTCCCTGTGGCTCTGCTAGGTGACTGGAAAAGCTCCTTCCCTGGTGCTCTGCTCCACCTTGACTTTTGTAGTCCCTCCGCCACATCACAGTCACGATGAGTTGCCACTGTAAAACTGAAATGTCCCTTCAAGTAGAAATCTTGGGCATCTTTCTGCTTACCCAGATCAATAGTCACAGTTATCACAGACCCAGAAAACATGATCTTTGGGCCAGGTGTGGTGGCATATGCCTTCATTTTAAAAAATATTTTATTTATTTAAAAATTTTATGTATATGTGTATATTGCCTACATGGATGTAAGTGCACCAGTGTTATACAGGGCCCACAGAGGTTAGGAGAAGGTGTGAGATCCCCTGGAACTGGAATTACAGATGAATGTTAGCCACCATTTGGGAGCTGGAAACTGAACCTGAGTCTTCTCTAAGAGTGCTCTTAGTTATTGAGTGCTCTTAATGATTGAGCCATCTCTCCAGCCCTGACATATGCCTTTAATGCCAGCACTAGGGAGGAGGCAGATGTAGGAGATAAGATCCAGGTCAGCCTTGATCTACATAACAAGCTCCAGGCCAGCTGGGGCAAAGGGGAGATACTATCTCAAACAATTCAAGAAAAATTCCACACTATCTCTCCTGGTTCCTGCTCCCTCTTATTGCCTATGCAACTTCAACCAAATGCGACTCCTGGATGTCTCTCAAGGATGCCACACTCATCCCTGCCAGGGCCTCTGCCTCTCTCACACTTAGCTGGAGCTCCAGTACTTCAGAGGCACAAACTTACTGTTCCCAGTCCACCTTAGTCAGAGCTGTGCACATAGTCAAAAAGTCAGCAGTGCTGTTTTGCCTTTATCATTTCTAATATACTCTAGATTTAATTCCTTTATAGTGTATATGATCCACTTTCCCAGTAAGTGAACCATGAAAAAACAGCCTTTGTGGTTCACTATTTTGTTTGCAGCATGTGGTCTGTAATTGCATAAATATGTTAATTAAACTACTTTTCATTTGAACGTATTGCTTTCCAATATACTCTAAATAGGATTTGTTTCATTCTAACAGCTCCATCTTCTGTAGTGTCTTCTGAGGTTTCAATCCTTAATAATTGTAGAAGATTAGATTCAGAAAAGTATAATTTAAAAATTTTATAAATCCCACAATGTTAAAGGGTTCTATTTTTAAATGATAGACTTTTAAGTTTATCCTTACAAAGGAAATATTTAGGAAGATAATTCCATCTAGCAGTCACAGGCACTAACTCTGCTTTCTGTGGGAACAGGTATGTGTAAAAAGTATCTTACTATGTTACACATGCTGCTCTCAAACATGTGACCTTCTTGCTTCTGCCCCTGAGTTCTTGGGTCATAGGTGTATGTCACCAAGCCCAAATTTCCAAATCTACATTTGATAAATCTCAAATGGTAATGCATCCAATGATAATTCCTGGGGCACACGACTCTTACCTGTGCGGTGGACCTCCTCCTTCACTTCCGGCATCTAGCCTCGTACCATGCTTTCCCATGCTCTGCACCACTGGGTCCCACTGTGCCTGTGCCCATCCCATCTTGCTGTTACACTGACTTCCCTCCATGTTCTCTCTTCTTTGTCCTGAGTATATTTCTTTCTGACATTAATCATTTTGATCCAAGTATGCCAAATTTGGGTGAATTTCATGGGTCAATAAAACAAACTAATTTTGATGGTCAGTATACAGATCATATTAAACTAATTCAAGTTTAGATTACTTTTAGCTTATACACTTGTATAAAAATGCCATGACAGAAGTTTGTTTGAACTTCTAAAGTGAATTAATTCAGAACATCCATTTTTTTTTTCACTTAGAACCAAAATGAAAGCTTTTTTCTAAAAGTTACATCTCCAAAGTCACATCAACAAAATAATAAACAAAATTATTTCAAATCTACCTATTCTGCATGGGTAGAATGGTTTGAAGTGACTGTATCAACACATATGTATCATCTTCTCTGGGCCTGGTATAAATATTTTGCATGTTTTTCTTTGCATATTGATATGCTTTCCAAAATTTCTTCAGTGAAAATGTATACATCATTTTGTGAGAAAAACACATTTTGAACAGTTAATTATATCCAATTCCATTTTAGAATCAGCTTTAAATTCTCTACTTAAATAATTTCTGAGTTATGTGTACAAACTTACCAGTGTGACACCATCATCGTTTTTCTCATTAATGTCTCCTCCCGCAGATAAGAATTGTCTGACATCTGTTAACATACTCATGGGTTTCTGAAGCTTCAACTTGCGCAGTGAGGAGAGGTCCACCCCTGGAGGAGGAAAAACCTTTAGTGCTAGTGTTGCAGCTCAAGTTCGTGACTAGCTAGCCACATGCTCTTTCAACATGCTCCTCTTTCAGATGTCCCCTCTCACCCTTTGAGCTCTCACTCTGTACCCAAAACTTGTTTCTCTTTGAATGAATTCTATTTCTAAGCAGATGATAGTCTATAAATGGAAAATTAATTTATTACTCATTTCCTTAAAACATCCATACATGGCAGGCTCTCCAGAGCTGTCTGTCTTAGTTACTGGACTGCTATATTAAGTATAATTAGATAAAGTACCAACATACACTAATCAAATTATCTTCAGGTATTTAAATTAGATTGAAAGAAGGTACAAAGCTATGATTTTTGTTTGCTAAGATTTTCCCATCAAAATAGTTGCTCCTAAATACAATGTAGTATCCTGGATTAGAAAAGTACATGTGTAGTGGCTATGATCTCAGCACACCACCAGACAGTGCTAGGTTCTGGCTTCCCTCTGGCATGGGGACTGGGCTGAGAACAGAGGGTACTGCCCGAGAGCGCCTGGATCCTGCCTCCATGTGGTGATAAGGGTTATGCAATTTGGGAGTCTTTTAGATAGACCCACTTAAAGGGTACTCCAATTGCCTCATCCTGCATCCCTGTTCAGCATGGAAGAAGCCAGAGCGGTCTGTGTCCTGATTCCTAACCCAAGTTGGGTAACCCCTTCAGAGGATGGTGTGATAAGAATAGGAGGTAGGAATTGGTTATGCAGTTAGGGAAAAAAGACCCCAAAGAAAAGTAGCCAATTTTTTGGCTAAAACTCACAATGTCCTTGAGCCTCTTAGCAACATGCTCTGTTCCAAAGGCTAAAAATGTCAAAAGTATTTTGGAGCTTTCATCTAATCCTTAAAATATTTTAGGGTTACCTCTTCAGAGGGGATAATGTTAGAGTAGCCAAAAGCCCCATTAAAAATAAAAGAAGATAGAGTACATAAAAAAGTAGAGGATCTTATCAGAAAAGAAGTATTCTCAAGATATGTGAACCAATATTTTAAGACCAACTTCACTTTTCCAACAGAATCTTTACAGAATTATAGCTAAGACTACCAGTGCTAGATCTAGCTTGCTATTATCTTTCAGAGTGATTGTATAATGAATTAATATATGTAAATAATTCAGTGTAGAGTTTGTTCCATAATATATGTTAAAATACCTGCTTTTAAAAGAGCATTTTTTAAAAAAGTACTGTATAAAACAAACACAAAAAAACAGTATCATATAAATAAAGTCTTTAGTATACAGCAATATTGTACCAATGTTAACTTATTAGTTTTGATAAATATGTCAAATTGTGCAGATTTTAGCATTAGGGTTGCTCTGGGAATCATGTTTGAGGATTTGCCATATTATATTTGAGACTTTGCTGTACATCTAATATTATTTCAGAATAGAAAATTAAAAGGTTGCTCTAACTGAACAAGTTACAGCTTCATGTAAGAAAGAGCCATAGTGAGTGGCACACAGGCTTCTTTGAGTCAGGGTGGGGGCTCATGCATTAAAGGCTTAGGTATCCTTTGCCTTAGCTCACATCTCTCATCAGCATTTGTTTTACCCTCCCTGAAATTTCACACTAGCATAATGCCTAATGCAGCTTGTATCTTTTCACTTAGGAATTCCCTTTTCTTATCATTGCTTCCTGGACACAGATACTGAGGTAATGTTCCTGACTTAACCACTAGGAGATTTATTTACTTCCTTCTTCAGGTCAGTTTTGAGAGCCATTTTGTGTGGGCTTCAGTATACTCAATCATTTGTGTAATAACAGATCTCACAGGGATTGAGGATACAGTTCCCTCTCCTGATTCCAAGTGAAGGTGAAGATGACAATGACAATAATGATGATGATGGTGATGATGGAGGCAATGATGAAGACAATAGTGGTGATGGTGGTGATGGTGTGTTGGGAAACCCTGCTGTTAGGGTTGTAGTCCGCCACGTCCAGATAGCCCTAAGGGGCTCGGCGCCAAATGGAAGGACTCCCCTTCTCAGCAGGGGGCCTCCTGCTCTTTTCCCGACTTACCTGGAAAGTGCCACCAAGCATGTATGCCTGACCTTATTTGGAACATGACCTTTGGCATAGTTACCTGGAGCAAAAACTACCCCAGGTTTTTTCTATATGATAATCAGGCTTTGCCTGGTAGTCGGATGATAGGAGCCTACTGCCACATGTAAAAAAGCATACTATGAGCACCTATCAGCTGAGGCATTGGCTACTGCCTCCACACTATATTTTCCCTAGTTCTCCCACTGTATAAATGGAGCTCTTTCACTGAATCTAGAGCTGTCTCACTGAGTCTGGAGCTGTTTGCATCGTTTAACATGCCTCCCTGGAAGGGCTTTCTTCCGTCAGTGCTCACTGGCCGTCCTGACCCCGCTCGTCGCTTCTGCTCCCTTTGTCCTCATTGACCGGTGGCCAACGACCGCTAGGAGAGGGAGAGACCCCACAGCGGGCGCCCAACATGGGGCTCCTGGAACGTGCAGAGTTTGTGAGTACCCCTCCCATCAGGAGGGTAACAGCAGCTTTGCCTTTAAGCCGTCCCACCCTTGAGGATCGGCAGTCTCTCTTTTTCCTTCTGCCTCCCATCAGGAGGGTAACAGCAGCTTTGCCTTTAAGCCATCCTACCCTTGAGGATTGCCAGTCTCTCTTCTTTTTCCTCCTTTTATTTTTGGTCTGAGTCTTCACGTGGGACCATTAAAGGCAAAGGAGCAATTGAAGCTTTCTGATCAGGGCTACTCCCTGATGTTAGCCAAAGGCTCTTAGCCCTCTTAATGGACCCGACTGCCTGCACAGGTGTAGACAAGACCCCCCTATCTATACATCTTTCTAATGCAAAAACCCGGTAATGCAATAACCAGTTAATTGCTCTTAGAGTGGTCGCCGGATCTCTTAAATTTGTGGGCAGGCTTGCACTGTGGACTACGTGGAATCACCTGGGGTTTTGATCCCAGGCATGTTCCCTTAGAAATCAGCGTTTCATCCCACTTTCCTTTTCTATCTTAAACAACACCCCTTGAAACAAAAATCCCCAAAGTTCTAAGGGATCTTTATATAAGCCTAAAAGTCAACTTCTAAAGTAAACTTCCCTAATCTGTTTTGTTATCTTGCCCCTGGGGTGCTCAAGCCCAAGCTAAACCAGTTAGGTGAGAATTTAAATTAACTATCCCCTGCAGAGCACTTAAAAATTCAAGGTGGCTTGCACCATACAAACAAACAAAAAATTTTAAAAGCCATTTTTTTTTTCCTGTAACCCTAAAATTTGCACTTAGGCTTGTGCCAATCAATATCAGAAATCTCTTTTTCCTATCACCTCCCATCAGGAGCATAAAAGACAGCTTTGCCTCTAAGCCACCCCACTCTTGGGGACTGGCAGTCTCTTCTCTCTTTTCCTCCTTTTATTTTTGGTCTGAGTCTTTGCGTGGGACCGTTAAAGACGAAGGAGCAACTGAGGCTTTCTGGTCAAGGCTACTCCTTGATGCTAGCTGAACGCTCTTAGTCCTCTTAACAGACCCCGACAGCCTGCACAGGTGTAGACAAAGACCTCCTATCTATACATCTTTCTAATACAATCTGGTAACCCAGTAACCAGTTAAAAGTCACAAGGATGGTTGCCAGTCCCTTAAATCTGCGGCTAGGCTTGTGCTTGTCAAAGCATCTCAATCCCCTGTGTCAGGCTGCCCTGGGAATGTTGAATGCCACTGACAACACTTCTTTTCTATACTGGGTAATTCAGCATCATGCCAAAAAAAACCTCCAAATTTGCTCCCTTAGAGCCCTACTTAGATCAAGAGGACTTAAGATTTCCCAAAAGGAAAGCTCAAAATTTTGGAATGAAGTATTTCAATTTGCACCCTGGATCCTGTCAGCAGAAATTTCTGACCCAGAGGTCTGGACCAACATTGCCTATCTGGCTCTTAAGACACCACTTGCCCCTTTCCTTCTTCCCCATAACAGCAGCCATTCGACAATGCTTAGGAAATCCACCTAAGACTGAGGAAAACTTACTAGCACCAGGGGATAATAAAGGGGAGGGTTCAAACAATGAAAAAGACCCTAAAGATTTCCCAACAGCAGATTCAACAGCCCTAAAAAATAATGAAAAAGACCCTATAGATTTCCCAACAGCAGATTCGACATCCCTAAAAAATAAAGAAAAAAAATCCCAAAGATTGCTCAGTAACAGATTCAATAGCTCCAAAAATAAAAACTGACCAAGTCAGACAAAACCCACCCATTAACAAAAATAACCTTTACCCCCTTATTCCCCTCTATGAATCCTCATGGACTGATTTAACAAACCCGGATGTTAAAACCCAGACTTCAAAAACTTCCAAAGACTCCCCGATAAATCCCCCTCCCCCTTCACTGCTGCCGCACCTGTGGCGCCACACCCCACAGCCATTGAACAGCTCTGTAATCTCAGGGATAATGGGAGTTATTGCCCCCAGAATCCCCAGACACAATGTCTCAGGACCCCAAAACCCCATCAGTAGAAGCTTTTCCCATTAACCTACAAATAACAAGGCAACGTCCACTGGCTTGGTACCCCCTCCCGGCAGTAGACTTAAAAGAACTAAGCCAAGCTGTCCGTGAGGTTAGGATCCATGCTCCATGGACAAAATCTATACTACAAACCTTTAATAGTAACCTCCTAACGCCCCAGGACTGGAGAGATATCTGTAGATCCACCCTCCCCAGTCCATTATTTGTGCAATGGGAGTTTCCTAGATTGGAATTATGACCAGCTTTTCGGCCCGGGCAATTTTTCCACAGGAATCCAGCAGGCTGTGATTCCTGCTGGCTGTTTTGAACAGGTCTGCTTATGTGCACTACAGGCCTGGGACCACCTAACTCCTTGTCCACCAGGCCTGGAGAGACCTCCTTATTAACCTTCTTAAAGCAAAAACTAACTGAAACCCTCTCAGACTTTATACTAAGAGTGCAGGCCAGTTTAGATAGAATA